GGTTGGCAGTGTCCTTGGAGAAGCAAATACTCCCCAGGCCTTTGGGGGCTATGGCCAGGGTCTGTCACTGTTTAGGGAAAAGGGAAAGGGACTCAGGCTGGGCAGATCAGAGTTGAGAAGGAGCACTGTGTATCTCTAGGGAAAAAAGCGGCCAGGCCAGAGGGGAGGGTGTGAGTCCCACAGAGGGGAGATGAGCTGGGACAGCTTGGCACTGGGCCTTGCTCCGGGGTGGGGGATGAGCAGGTCTTATACAACTGAAGGATGCAACATTTTCATTTTATCCTTCTTTTCCCCATAGTCTATTTAAAGACTGTTTCTCTCCTCCAAGGCTGCATGTTGCAATTCTTTTCGTGCTTAGGTTTCGGATCTTCCACTGACGAGCCCCAGCCCCTGGAGACATCTCTTGCCTTGCCTTGCCTTGCCTTACCACACTTGGGGACTCTGGATTTCAGCCCTGGGTTTGGCCACCACCGCATCCTCCCCCTGTCCCACTTTTCTTCTGGCTGTTTGTATTCAGTCTAGACGATTCATTTTCATTTGTTGATGTTCTGCCCTAGCCCAGGGCAACCACGGTGTGGTGGACCAAGCACTAGAGTTGGAGTCGGGAAAGCTGGCTTAAATTCTGGCTTGGCCATTTACCGGCTGTGCGTAAATTCGGGCACGTTATTCACCCTCTCTGAGACTCCTGCTTCTCATCAGCCAAGCAGAAATCATGAGCCCCATCTCCAGGGTGGCTAAAAGGAGGAAACTGTGCCTGGCACTGACCAGGAGGCTTCTGTCCCTAATCCCAACATCGGACTCCAAGTTCCCTCCTTGCCCAGCCCCATTCAAGTGTCTCCACCTGTCAGCGAGCCCCTCCACCAACCACCGCTGCCGGCCTCACCCACCGCACCGCAGCCTTGGGATGAACCCCTCGGTCACCTCAGCCGCGGTTTCGCCATGTGTCATTCAACAAACGTTAATTAAGCATGTACTATGTTCCAGGCACTGTTCTAGGAGCTGGAGGTATAGCAATGAACAAAACAGACAAAGATCTCTGCCCTCACGCGCTGCCTGCCTTCTAGTGGGGGCAGGGGTGGGGGCGAGGGTGGGGGTGGGGAGAGACAGACAAAAGGGAAAGTACATTTTAGAGCTATGTGGTCCAAAACAGTAGCCACTAGCCACATGTGTATATTGGGCCCTTGAAACGTGGCTGCTCCAAACCGAGGTGCTCGGTAAGAAGAAAGCACACGTCAGATTTGAAGATTTCACACAAAAGAAAAGGGAAATCTCTCCTTAACAATTTTTACATTGATTAGATGGCGAAATGATATTTTGAGATACATCGGGGTTAAGTAAAATATAGTATTAAAGTTAATTTCCCCTGTTTCTTTTTACCTTTTTAAGTCTGGCTCCTAGAAAATTCCAAATTACATGTGCGGCTCCTGTGGCAGTTCCACTAGACACCACTATTCTAGAGTGGTTGAGAAGATGGCACACGTTATGGGGGGAAAGATGGGGTGGTAAAAAGGAGGACCCAAGTGCAGAGTGAGGAAGGGGTGTCAATTGTAAAAGAAGTGGTCAAGGTGGCCTCCCTGAGAAGGTAACAAGACTTGACGGTAGGGGAGCCCCACGTTGCCACAACTAGGAGAAGAGTTCCTCACTCCAGGAAGTGAGGACAGCCAGTGCAAAGACCCTGGGGTGGGAGAGCACCCACAGTCTGAGGAAGAGAGAGGCCATAGTAGCTGTCGCTGAGTAACCAAGGGGGGTCAGAAGTCATAGAGTCAGGGAAGTAGAGGCCTCTTCAGGCCTCTACTTCCTTTGGTGCAGGGCCTCTTCAGGCCAACGTGTGGACTGTTATTTTTTTTTCTCTGAGTGAAATAGAGTCTGCAGAGTTTTGAGCCGAACGGTGACATGAGTTGGCTCACAGTTTTCACAGGCTCACTCTGGCTGTGGTGTGAGAATCAGCTTAAAGGGGGTGGGGGTGAAAGAATTAGGAGGCCGTTCAGAGGCTCCAGCAAATAGCCACTTGGGATGACGAGAGCCCCTACCGCATAGGGCTGTGGTGTGGATTCCGTGTTAACCAATGGAAGACCCGGTAGGTGCAAAGCGCCTACTAGACCCAAAGCTCTGTGGGTCAGGGACCTGGCCTCCCATCTTCCTCACAGTATAGCCAGGAGAGGCAGAAGTCGCTACTACCCCCTCTGCCCCTCCCCTTGGAGGGATGCAACAGCCTCCTTTGGCTTCCCTGCCTCTGGCCTACCATACTGCTGGGGTGCTTTTAAAACCCCTCAGTTGCTGCTCATCCCTGACAGGCCAGAGGCTCCCTGCGAGCTAACCCTGCCTCTCTCCTGCCTCCATGCCTCACCACTGCCCGCCGGAGTCCCCCCTCAATCCTTTGCTCATACCATGCCTTCTGCCTGGGATATCTGCTTCAACTGTCCCCCCTCCCCTCCCTGTTCTATCTCCTCCTACCCATTCTTTAAGGGGCTACTGAGAGGTAATGTCAGGAGAAGACCCCCAGACTCTGCCACCCCCAATACATCCCAAGCTGAGCAGATGCCCCCTCATATGTTATGTATCTTTCTATTCACGGATTTATAGTTTCTGTGACTCCTCGGCCACCCTCACCAGAACTTTATAAGGACTGCAGTTGTCTTATTTATAAGGGCATCCTCTGCCCTAGCAGGGGGGCTGGCCCAATAAATACGGCTTGCGGGGATAAAAGAGAGGCAAGAGGAAGTGGATCTGGAAGCCTTGCTCGTAAACGCCAAAGACCTAGACAGCATCTACCCTGGCCAGGACCACGGGAGAGCAGGGCCTACACAAGGCAAGGCAGGGCATCCTCTTAAGGGCCACCAGAGCTGCGGGTCCATCTTCCAGAGGATCGAGGATCCAGGACCCACTCTGTAAAATTTAATTACACCCTGGGGCCCCATGAACACCCCATAGCCAGCCTCAGCCCTCTCCTATCCCCTGGGCAGCACGCTCAGACACATGGCCAGTTCCTTCCCCAACCAAGGGAGAGGGCCTGGATCATGTGATTCCTGAAGGCAGCACTGCTCACTGCAGGCCCTGGCTCCTCTCTAAGGTGCTGTTTCTCCCTCCCCCATTGCGGAGCTCCTCCCCCCCACATCATGGCAGAGGGTGGACGGGGTCCTCCAGGACCTGCTCAGCCAGAACGGAAGCGCTGTGGCCCCCAGCACAAGAAGGTGGGCCACCCATCGCCTGCATACCTGGGACCCCCCCCTTTCCCAGACCTAAGACAAATGCCATTTTCCCCAAGGGAGGAGGGAAAGGGGGCAGAAGGGAGTCTGGAACAAGGACCCAAGGGAGAAGGAGAAATCAGGAGGAGCTTTGAGATCAGAATTAAATTCTTTAATACAAAATGCTTTTTTTTAAGATATATCTGTATTTCTTTGTTGCTGTTTAAAAATAAATATGTACTACGGAATATCTCGAAAAACTGTACTAGAGACAAAGATGTGATGTTAATATCTTTTCCCCCACAATTATTACGGATAAACAGTAGCACCAATAAATAAATGATAACAAATATTAAAATTAAAAAAGGAGAGAGATTTAGTATGTAGAATTCTCTATTTTTTCTTGTTTTGTTTTTACATATAAAAAACAGAATAGCAATGTCTATTTTATCAGAATCACATATATACATAAACATATATATATATATATATATATATACACACACACACAAACGCAAGTTGCCAAATATATATATAGTATGTAGATGTATATTGAAACCTTAATTCAAAGGAATGTGTGGTGGGGAGCCAGGGGAAAGGGGAGGGCAGAGCTGAGTGTTAGCAAAATTAAATATCTGGTTCAGGACAAGCTAGTGACTGTCACCGATCGGGGAGATAAGAGATTGGAAACATGAATCTTAACACACACAGACCAGTACAAATAAGAGAGAGCAAGAGAGCGCAAGAGAGATACATCTCATAAATAGTTGAAATTAAATATTAACCAAGAATACTGAAAAAAACCCTACTCTTTAATTAAATTAACTGTTTTAATTTCTAATTAAAAAGGGATATTAAATAAGTACCATATATAAAACACTTTCTCTGCCTCCGTGGTGGGCACGTGGATCCTGCCCTGTCTCTCTGTGCCGCGGGAAGGGTCGGGTCTGGGGACAGAGGAGGGTTAACCACTCACACACACACAGCCAGGTCTCCTGGGGGGACAGAACTAGTGGTTTCAATGGTCTGAGGACATCAGGCCCTCCTGGGCTGCACCCAGGAAGGGGAACTGGGAGAAGGCCAAGGCAGGAGGCCTTTTCCTTGGAGGACAAGCTGCCGCCAGGCGGCCCTTCCTCCACCAATGTCTCTCTTCTTTTTGCCAAGACATCTGTTGGCAGCGGTGCCCTGGGCATCTCGGGAGCCAGTGAAGAGTAGGTGAAGGCTGCCCGGTCTCGTGAATCTTCCAGGCAGTGCCCCTGAGGGCAGGATGCCCGTGCAGCCTGCAGAGAGGATCCCCAAAGTACAGCAGTGTCCTGAGGCTCCCAAAACTCCTGGTCAGAGCCAGTGCCCTCGTCCCTGTACCTGCCGTCTGTCCATGTGACTCGGGGGAGAGGCTTGGGGCCAGGGCTGGGTTTGTCGGTGTTCCCAAAAGCAGGCCAAATTTGCCCCCATGCCCTGGCCACGCACGTTCCTGGGCAGGGAAGGCGACCCTGGCTTTCCTAAGAGGGACCGAAAGATCATGCCAGAGTCTCCCCTGCCATCCTCCTCCCTGTTGGGATCTGGGTAGGGACATTCTCCTCCCAACTCAAGTCCACAGCAGTCAAATACATCCAGTGAAGACACCAATAACATTAGCAATGTTAATTTAAAAAAAAAAGAATATTAAAAATTTAAAAAAAAACAGATTGGCGACACTTATTTTTATATAT